GAGGTTTTCTATGGATTACTAATTAAATGAAAGCACCCTAATACTATAGTATTTTCTTGAAAAAGTTGCTGTTGAGATAAGTATTATCACTATCTTAAAGCTTCACGTCTGTTTTAAATATTTATTTTTGAAGATTTTTTTGTGGTGTTGATATTTCTTATATAATAGGTGACACTAAAATATGAAATATCTATATAAATAAAAAATATTCAACGTAGTGAAAGAAAAATATATTTTGTTATTTTAATTAAATCGAAACTTCTATTTAAGACATCATTACAGAATTTAAGTTTCTCATTAGTAAAATTTCCCATTAAACTATTTGGAAAAAAAAACTATTACTACCTCAATTGCCCTAGATGTGATAAGAAGCAATCGTCTTTACAATCTGGGTGATTGATATGTTGATTTTGAATAAATTTACTTTCAAATTGAAGTTTTATAGCACACCATTAAGAATCATCTTATAAAAGGAAAACTACCGATTCGATAGTGATAAAATTTAAATGAGACAACCTCGGTCCATTAAGCTGTCGAATAAAAAATTATCGGTCAACAATTGGCGTACAAATCGGTGAACATACATTAAAAAAACAAACGTACATCACCGTTAAACATATAAACTCTTCCTTTTAGGTTTTGAAGTCGGTTAAAAACAACATCATACTTGAAAAATCCTTCAAATACGTCACAGTCAAGAGAAGAATTTATAACGCTTTCAAGTGTTTTAAAGTGAAAATAGTTTTTGACGCGTATAACGCGTCCTTATAGACGAGGTATAGAGGACGCCTTCACCTTCGAGTAGAAGGGGTTCTTGCTAACTCGAAAGCTTCTTTTATATTCATTACAATTGTAAGGTATTTTGATATTTAGATTAACAGTTTGTAGGTAAGATGTAAATCATGCTCCATTCTATAATAAACCAGTCAGTTCTCGACCTTGTCGTTTTACTTACGTCTCCCGACACGACACTGGCGACGAGGATGGGATTAAAAGAAAGTAATTAATTTACCGCGTCATATATTGTTTGCATCACTGTATTCGACAAATAATTTAGATGCCTATCGGAAAAATAGAACCGTTCGATTTAAACTCTAAACAGTGGCCGGCATACGTTCGACGCGTAAAACAATTTATTTTGTTGAACGAAATAAAAGACGAATTAACAGTGTCAACTTTAATCACGGTGGTAGGAGACGCGGCCTATACGTTGATGTGCGATCTTTGTTCTCCACAACATCCAGAAGAAAAAGAATTTGACGAATTAGTCAATTTAATGAGCGAACACCTCGAGCCACAACGGTCCGAGATAGCTGAGAGACACGTATTTCGTTTGAGAAGACAGCGACCGGGCGAATCACTCACGGAGTATTTACAACACTTAAAACACCTCGCCACAACGTGTAATTTTGGCTTGAGATTAGAAGAAAACCTCCGAGATCAATTTGTTTCTGGATTGGCGAACGACGTAATGAGATCGCGAATATTTGCGGAAAAGAACATCGACTATAAAAAGGCGATCGAACTGGCTCTAGCGCTGGAGGCTGCAGACAGGCATGCGGAGTTGAGCGCGGCCGCCACTTCCACTACGGCGAGGATCAGCAGCGCACAGGCGGGTGAAGACCTGCATTTGCTGAGATCAGGGCGCGGTGCCCGTAGAGGCGCAAGCTCGTCGGCGGCGAACGGCGGCGCTGGCGCAGGCAGAGGCGCGGGCGCAGGCATAGGCCCGGGCGTAGGCTCGGCGACGATGGCAGCCGCCGACGAAGCGGGGCGGAGCGGCGGCTGGCGCGATAACCGCGCGGCCGCTTGCTGGCGGTGCGGGAAGTCGCACAATCCCAACCGGTGCCGTTATAGTAATTATAATTGTGATAAGTGCAATCGACGCGGCCATTTAAAAGTGATGTGTGGTCAGGTTCAAAACTATAATCATAGTGTTCGACAAAATTTTATGAGTGATTCTGAGGATGAATTTTACAATATACAAACATCTGTTATAGGTAACAAACCTTATTATATTCAGTTGGTGATTGAAGGACAATCAGTCGAATTAGAAATAGACACAGGTAGCCGAATTTCGGCTATAAGTGAGGAATTTTATAAACAGAGATTTAGCCATAAGTGTATAAAAGTGGATAATATTATTTTACATAGTTACGCCGGGGCACGAATCGATACTATCGGATATATACTTGTGGAGGTGGTATTGAATAAGATTCAAGTAAATAATTTATCTTTATACGTGATTAAAGGCGGAGGTCGACCACTCCTAGGCCGTGATTGGCTAAGAGCCCTAAAAATTTCACAAATAAATTTAAATTCATTAGTACTCGAAGATCGAATCGTGACCCGATTACGCGATGAATTTCCAGAGGTATTTATGGATAAGCTAGGAACCTGTAAAAAAGCTTTGCACTTGCAACTCGTAGATGACGAATGTGTGTATGTGCGCGCGCGGCCCGTGCCGCTGGCGCTGCGTGAGCGCGTCGAGCGAGAGCTCGCGCGACTCGAGCGCGACGGGTCCATATACCGCGTGGAACACTCCGACTATGGCACGCCAATAGTACCGGTCATTAAAAGCAACGGGGATATACGAATTTGTGGTGATTATAAAATCACCATTAACCCGAAATTAAAACGTGATTTTTACCCTTTACCGCGTATTGAAGAACTGTTCGCTACTTTGAGTGGAGGCGAAAAATATACTAAAATTGATTTAAGACATGCCTATGAACAGGTCTTGTTAGACGAAGAGTCGCAATCGTACACAGCCATCACAACACATGTAGGCACTTTCGTATATCGTAGGACTCCGTATGGCTTATCTTGTGTTCCAGAAAAATTTCAGAAATTGATGGAGGAGACCTTGCGCGGTATACCCGGTACGGTAGTATTCTTAGACGATATTTGTGTAACCGGGAAAGATGAAAGTACTCACATGCGTAATCTACGTGCAGTGCTAACACGGTTAAGGGATATGGGCTTGACACTAAAACTAAACAAATGTACGTTTATGCAAAGCAGCGTAACATATTTAGGTTTTATTATTGATAAAACCGGTTTGCATCCAGACCCAACAAAACTTGAGGCGATAACTGATGCCCCCACGCCACAAAATGTAACGCAATTAAAAAGTTTTTTAGGTATGTTAAATTATTATGGCAAATTCATTACAAACCTTAGTACAATTCTGTATCCCTTACACGAATTGTTACGAAAACAAGCGAAGTGGTACTGGAATTCACGATGCGAGCAAGCATTCGTGAAGGCAAAGACAGCTTTGTTAAACAAGAACGTGCTCGCACACTACGAGGAGGGCCTTCCCCTCGTGTTGTCCGTGGACAGCAGTGCGTATGGGCTGGGCGCGGCGCTCTCGCACCGATATCCGGACGGCCGGGAGCGGCTCGTGTGCGCGGCCTCTCGCACGCTAAACCACGCCGAAAAAGGTTATAGCCAGCTAGATAAGGAAGCCTTAGCCATATATTTCGGTGTCACTAAACATCATCAATACTTATTCGGTAGACGATTTATTTTAAAAACGGATCATAAACCGCTCACTTATATTTTTGGGAAAAATAACGGCATTCCCCAAACGGCAGCGAGTAGGCTGCAACGATGGGCTACCCGTCTGGCTGGTTATGATTTTACCGTGGAATTCGTTCGTTCTGAGAATAACGCGCCAGCCGACGCTCTGTCGAGGTTACCTTTGCAACACGCTCGACAACTTGCGGATACAGTATCGTATTTGAACTTTATCGATGAAATGTTACCTGTTAGTTATAAAGAAATAGCTAAAGAAACCAAAAAAGACGCCCGATTAAATAAAATTTGTGGATTCGTGTTGTTCGGTTGGCCATCAGCGAGCAGTTGTGAAGAAGACAAGCCTTACTTTGAAAGAAAAGATAATTTATGTGTAGATTTGGGATGTTTAATTTATAAATATAGAATTGTGGTGCCCCCAGTATTAAAAGAGCGCGTATTGAAAGAGATTCATGAAGGCCACTTAGGTATGAACAAAATGAAGAACATAGCTCGTAGCTATGTCTATTGGCCCGGTATAGACAGGGATATAGAAGAGACGTGTCGCGCATGTGCCGCTTGCCGCTGCGTACGCGACGCGCCGCCACACACCTCACTCCACCCGTGGGAGTTCCCACAGCACCCGTGGCGACGCTTACATGCAGATTTCGCGGACTGCGCGGGTAGACGTTTTTTGATTATCGAAGACGCACATTAAAAATGGATAGAAGCTCTAGAAATGAAAAGCACTACCGCCCATTCAACAATCAAAGCGTTTAGAACGATTTTTGCTAGATTCGGACTGCCTTCGCAACTGGTCACTGATAATGGCCCACCATTCTTTTCAGATGAATTTAAACAATATTGTATAAAAAACTCCATCATACATACGACATCGGCACCGTACCGACCTCAAGGAAACGGTGAAGCAGAAAATGCAGTGAAAACAATCAAAAAGGCCATTAATAAAGCTATGGTCGAAGGAGACGACATCTCGGTCGCTCTTTGTAAATTTTTGTTCCAATACAGAAACTGTGAGCATGCAACAACGGGAGTCTCCCCAGCCGTTGCGTTAATGAACCGACGGTTGCGCGGGCGACTAGATGCGCTGCGGCCGGACTCGGCTGCAGCGGCGCGCGAAGCGCAGGCAAAGCAAATCGCATACAACGGTGGGCGGCATAGAGAATTTGAGGTGGGAGAATCCGTACTAGCCCGGGACTATACGAATAAGGCGGGTAAGAGTAAGTGGTCAGAGGGTCTCATCGAAATCGAAAAAACAGGTCCAGTTTCATATAAGGTAGGCATAGGCCAAGACAGAACCCATCGCCGCCATGCTGACCAAATTATTTCAAATAAATCGCGGTACTCGTTATCGCGCACTAATCCAGTCTTAGAGGTCGCGAGCAGCGCCGATAGGGATGTGGAAGCGACGGAAGCTGTCGAAGATGCCGACGGAGGGGCTAAGGGGGACGCGGTGACAAAGAGCACGAACGACAGGGCGGGCACACCGCAGCCTGCGCGCGCGCCACCGCTGGCGCGCACACCACCCTCACCGACAGCTTCCGAACGCACTTGGAGATATTATAATCGCGATTTAAAAAAAAAAATATATAAAAAAATTAAATTAAAACTATTGTTTAAATAGTTGTTATATTGTTATAAAATATATATAATTTTAGGTTTAAGAGCATAATTTGTTATCAAAGGAAAGGTGGTGGGCAAATATTTAATAAGTAGCACTTAATATTAAAAGAAATCAAAGATCCTCAAATAGATGTACTAATCTACATTCTTATTTTGTATAGCGGGAATGTAGCACTTTATTTTATTTAAGAGGGAATATATGTAAGGTATTTTGATATTTAGATTAACAGTTTGTAGGTAAGATGTAAATCATGCTCCATTCTATAATAAACCAGTCAGTTCTCGACCTTGTCGTTTTACTTACGTCTCCCGACACGACAACAATAATATTTTTTGATAATTTAACATAAAATTAAAAAACTATGCATTTTTATAAGTCCTATATTTCTCTAACGGCCATATTCGGTATAGTGCCGGTGATAATGATAAATGATATAAATAAAACACTTGAGTCCGTTTACAGTGAAATGTACTTATTAAAATTATAATGAAATTGATAATTACAATGATAATGATTAGTCGCGTGTCGCGGTTGACGTATGATTTTGGACTGAATTATTGACGTCGCTAATGACCTAAAAAGCATAAATGCTTACAACGTCGTTCGGTTGCATTGCACCGAACATGCTCCCGACAGAACAAAATAGCGAGATGTAAATGATAACCAAGTAGTCTAAAATTACTAAGCTACAATATTAACAAAATTATAAAAATAAAAAATGTAAAGATTATGTAAAAATTTGTATACAAAAATTATTTATAAATGGAAAATGTCGAGTTTACATCTGTGTATCATTTTCAACGTCAATAAATACACGTTTAGTAATTATTGGTGACGTAGCGATGTCTACCATCGATTGATAACGATCACTCAACACAGAAACACTAGGCTGTCGGTCAGCCGTACTCTGCTTTCGCGCACTCACTACATCGACACTCTCACTATCACTTAACTGCGCCTGTTCAGTGCGAGGAGCGCGTCCCGCGCGTTGCCCTCGCCAGCGCCACCACCAACAAGCGATGACCACCAGGATTACTACTGCTACTGCCACGCCGCTATATGAAACGGCGTATTGATGAATGTCATGGCTAGACAATTCAAACTCACTTTCAACGCTTCCTTTCTTCAACTCTTCTATTTTTTCTTTTAAAACTTCTAAATCATTCGTCTGAATTGTCTCATTGATTATGTCGTTATAATAATAATTTGGCAATGTTAAGTTTAAAAAATTATTTATCGGAGCTATGTCGAATTGGTAAATTATGTTGGGACTTATATTCACAGAATTATTTTGTGGTCTGTTGGAAAAAAATGTAAAATCTTTTCCTTTAGCTATGCATTTGTTATCTAGGCGTATGAGCCCTGCGTTTTCCAACTGTAACGATGTTATTTCTTTATCACATATAATTCTCATTGTGCTTAACTGGCAATGAAAATATAAGTACGTCGAGGGATCTGATAGTTCAAACCACTCATCTTTGCATGTACTCATCTGTATTTTACATTTTCCCATGTCATCTATTCTACAAAACCTTTCTTCTGCACTCATATGTTTTATAGGGCTATATAATTTGCACAAATATGCAGTTTTGTGTTGTAGGCAATTTTGTAGCTCAAATTGATCAATATCTATGTATGCATCTTTTTGTAAATTTATAGCTGTGAACATCGATCTCGTTAAGATTTTTATCATTCGATTGTTATTGTTATATGGAATTGGAATCAGTTTATATAATTGAAAGTAATCACGACTTATCAGTGGAAATTTGATTTCAAAAATAAAATAGTTGTTTGTGACTCTTGATTTCACTCTTATAACTCTATACATCTCTTGAAAACCTGTTGCTATGTCATCTAAAGGTAAAGTGAGGTCTTTCGCTAGTTGGCTGGAAATGATCTGTAATTCTTTTCGAAACTGTTCGGGACTCAACAAATAAATGTTGAATCGCCCGTGGTAAATGTCTACTAAAGTACTCAATAAGTTGTCTTGGATTCTCCTCAGTTTGGTGAGTAAGTTAATAGCAGAAATTGATGACAGCGTAAATTCTTCCATAATTGATAATGCGTTAACTTGTCGAGTTATGTTATTTGTAGAAGTGTCTAAGATATTTAAATGTTTGTTGATGGTTTTGTGCTGAACTGCAATTATTTCTTCTGTTCTTTTTAATAAGTTGTATTCGGCCTCTATCACTGAAGTCTGATTTTTATAAAGAGCATGAATGTGTTTATTATTTTCTTTTAATAGTTGTATGTCTCGGGTATATTTTTCTACGAAATGCTGATCTAATAAACCGAACAGGCTATTTGCAATATAACCTACTCCATTGATAAGGCCGCGGTGCCGACGCTGTCTGGAGTGTAACCCGTCGCGTGCTTCAAAACCTTGATTCAGCAATAGTTCATTGTAGTATTTTAATTCCGTATAATCATGTTGTAATTGCGTTGATATTAATTTACATCGAGTTTGGTCTTGAAATAGGACACATGCTTTTTGTAGATACTCGACACATTTTTCTACTGCTTTAAATCCTTCCCAATAAGGATTCATGTCGTAATAAGTCACCATAGTCCAGTCATCTCTTATTAATTGCATATCTGTCACTAAATCGAAGTAAAGGGATTTATTGTTATTGTTATTTAGTTTAGTTATTGAAAAGGCAGCAGTTGATGACGAGACAATAGTCATAAAAAATAAAAATGCCAGTGCTACTGATGAAAAACTGATTGAGACGGATTGAGATGCACTGCTTCCATAAATAAATTTTTAAAAGAGACCCATTGGTGATAATTACCTGTAAACTCGGGTATGTCTACTTGGGGTGTAATATGATCTCGGTGACATACAGACCATAACCTTGTATTGATGATTTCCTTTAAATTGTAATAAATACTTTCATGATGTGTAAACGCGGCTTCATAAGCTTCATCCTCGCCATTTATAATTTCATCTATTTCCCAATGCAGAGAGTCAATGATTAACCAACGTGATTGTAACTGCTTTAACGCATCTTCAAATTTCCATTTTTCTGTAATTGATTCCACTTCAATGCCCTTCACCGTTCTCATGAGTGCTTTAAAATTAGTTGCTTGTTTATGTAACATTTCGTCTAACTTACTCGTAGTGCCAGTTGATCTCCTGTCGCCCGACTTCTCGATATCTCCCGACGTCCCCTCTACTCCTGATGTTTGCTCCCTTAACGACAAACCTGATTTACTTCCACCTGCGACTGCCTCTTGTTCGCGTGGGTTTTCCCTTGGATTTTTCACAGAAAACTCCTTAGCTATTGAATGGAGATAACTTTTTATTTCTAAATATAACATTTTAGTTCTATCATACTCCCTGCGCGCGAAATAAGGTCGCTCAAGGTCTTCATGCTGTAATAGTTTCTTATGATTATTCTGATATTCTACCCAGTACGCCTCCAATACCTCTAACTTTTTCTGACCATAATTCGTAGATGATTTCCGCTCTGCTCCATCCTTTTTGATATTGTTGTAAAGCTTTTCTAAGAGATTGAAAAGCTCGGTTTGTGTTTCATAAATATCCTCCATTGTTAAATGATAATGTTCAATTGAGATAAAATTGGAAAGATCTTACTCAATTTGTTCCACTTGCCGATACCAGCTCCTCTCGATAAATGACAATGTCCAGCACTATTCAAAACTGCCTGCACTGGTTCACCTCGTTATTGTTCACTTTCAAAACGCGAGGTCCCGCCACGAGGCTCGAAGGACCAAAAAATATTCGGTATAGTGCCGGTGATAATGATAAATGATATAAATAAAACACTTGAGTCCGTTTACAGTGAAATGTACTTATTAAAATTATAATGAAATTGATAATTACAATGATAATGATTAGTCGCGTGTCGCGGTTGACGTATGATTTTGGACTGAATTATTGACGTCGCTAATGACCTAAAAAGCATAAATGCTTACAACGTCGTTCGGTTGCATTGCACCGAACAGGCCAATTACACAAACCTCCATTAAGGTTTAATTACGCCTTTAAGCTCTTATGAATGTCAAATTTGTATGGATAATGTAGCTTTAAACTAATTACAAATTTAATGGATGTTTGTGCAACTGGCTGTTAGAGATATATAGGACCTATAGGTATATAAATAAATAAATAAATATTACCTTTCAATATATATTTTTATAAGATGTTATTTTTATTGAACCGTCAATCTACTTATAATTAGAATAAACTTTTTATATCGGAAATGCTATGAATATGTTTTTTAATTAAACAAATTAATAAATTCGCAGAACTTAAAAAAATAAAATAATGTCACTTGTCTGGAAACGGATGTAGTGTTGATTTAATAAAGAAAACTGGTTTGACTACTCTTGCTATAAAGTAGTTGCTAGTCTTAGGGGATTATTGTTCGAGATACAGTGGCGTGAAGACGTGTATCCGTGAAATTAGATACGTGCAGCGTGAAATTAGTGTGGTTTTATGACATTAATATGTACAGTTTTTTTTTTTTTTTTAATTAACTTAACGACATAATATATAATCAATTTTGCCTACTCGTTTCATTCGAGTCCCATCTCAGGGTATCTGGGGCTGGTGAATTTAACAAACAATCTTTAACGACTTTTTTTTTATTATGCCACAATCATTCTCGTGACATTATTAAAATCTAATGCTCTATAAAAAGTAGTAATAAGGGCAAACCAGAAATCACAGTTTATCGTCCTCATTTCACCTGCAAACTGTACTTAGGACGAATCCGATCCGATTGCGGGCATTATTCTTAGTAATGGCTGTTCTAACCCTCTGGCTGAAGAAATAACATGTTTTATTCGCTCGTGATTTTCGTTTGTTCAGTTAAATTTTATATAGCCCAAGTTAGATTAATAGTCCCGCCTTTGCGTCGTAACTATTCGCGCTGCAGACTGAAAGTTCGTTCCCAGTTTAGTTCTAAGTATTTTGATGAACTAAAAATGATCAGTTTGATAGTCCAGACTATTACGTTCTAAGAGATTCATTGCTTGGATTCCTGAAATTGTAATTTATTTTTATAATAATTTACTATCAATAGCACGTCAGATTTCTACAAAAGGTTTAATTTCGCTATTATTTTAAGCCGTATTCTGTTCGTAGTTAAGTTTATAATTAATTTCAAAATGGCCTTTAGTTGTAATGTAATGTGCAGCTCGTTGTAAATAAGCATTATGTCAACAAAAATACTTATTGACATCAGAATGGAAACAAATTTTCTTCTTCTTATCGAAAAGTGTTAACTTGAACATAAAAATGTAAAAAGCCCTCAGAAGATTTCATATTTTATTATCTTCGAATATTTTTATTCATACATAGGACTTAATGAAAAATTAATTTTCTTAACTAATAATTATATTCTATTTTAAAATATCATAAACTAATTTTTATTTCTAGACGTATGTTATGTGGTCGGGTCTGGGTGTTGAGTAACCTTCGTTGTCTCAGACACTCCATAATACAGAGACAACATCTTGGCATCTGGGTAACGGATATGATGTTGTCTAATTTAATTGTTTAAGAGATATCAGTCTTTATCTCTATAAAATCTTGAAAATATTGCTTTACAATCAATTGGTCATTTTCTCAATACTAGATATCTGTCCTTTATATTCTCGATCAACTACAATGTGGGATCTTTTTAATTCAAATTCGATTGAAAATGAAAAGAAAAAAATAAATTGGAATTGATTTATTCCTCTCCATTCTTTACGAGATGTACTTTAATCTATCACTTTTAATTCTCACGTTTTCAAATACAAAATTGAATATAGTAATTATGGTCATTTAACCAATGCAAAGTGTTTCATAAAACGATTTTTTTTATAACTATACTATCTTCAACATAACTAAATGACTTATTTAAATAATATACTACTGATATATAAAATTTAAGATGAGTTAGTGAAGCGTTATTAAAAATAAACAATTCATACTGCGTGCATTTTATTAGAATGGTCTAAACCGACATCCGATGTCATCTTTGTTAAGTTTTATTTTTTCCTCTTTTGCAGTTTTAGTTGCAATTCTATTGTTGTATTAATAAAGCAAAGCGGTCTAACAGCCATTTTCACTAACCTAGAACAAGGCATATCTTAACTAGGAAACGCCTAATGTTACGAATCGCCTAAGCAGATCTGTTTATTTCCAGATAAATAGTGTTTTTCTTTTATCCCTTGACTTATTTATGACCGGTCATATCATAACGAATATCATAACTTTAGACTTTGCTTAATATCGTTAGGTAGTTCCTAGTGAAATGGTGAAATGCATTTTTACCTCAGGCGATTCCCAAATATTTAAGCGACAGATTTGGGCGACTCTTAAGTTTAGTGAAAACGGGCATAAGTGAAAACTATTCAAATAACGGCCTTCGTAGCATGGAGGTAAAGAAAGTAAGTGGTTAAAAAGTTTTCAAGTGTAAATTCACATTACAAATGAGCGGTTCCAGGGTCACCGACGTGCATTCTTAAAAAAAGTTTGGCACACGATGAGTCTGAGAGATTTTAACCTCTTTGGTAGATTTTAGCAGCTAATCAAGCGTGTCTTTGCTTGCGGCTTGTAGCCCTAATCATTCCTGATTTCTTCTTGTTAACCTTGTGCTTTTACGAGCAGAAATTACGTTAACCTTACAACTTAAGAGACTAATAGTGGTGTAGTGAGAATTTCTGGTTACTAATTAAATTGTACACTTAATTACTGATTAGTCCCGTCACTTATTACTATTAGAAGAAGAGCCTAAATTTTGTGTTTCAGTATTGACATTAAGCAACTTTCGCAAGGGTCGGTCACGGGATGGGTGACCAAAAAATTATTAACTCGAGCTGCTCCGTGCTTCGGAAGGCACGTTAAGCCGTTGGTCCCGGCTGCATTTGCAGTCGTCAATACCCTCCAATCCGCACTGGGCCAGCGTGGAGGGTCATGGCCCATCCTCCTTAACCATCCATAAGGAAGGCCTGAGCCCCTGCAGTGGGGACGTAAAAGGGCTGGTGATGGTGATGGTGATGGTATTGACATTATACATCTAATGAGTTTTGGCCATAGGTACATATGACACATTAATTGTTGTATAAAATCATACCATTAGTTTGTGTAATTCTATTACTCGATATTTATGTTACAATTTAATGATATTACGGTACGTGCCGCAAGAGGTGATCAAATTATAATCGAAGTGGGGACGTCCCCTCTTATAAACGTTACCAAGGGAACATGCTCGTCATTTATTTCTGGGATCGGCTTAATATAAAGAAAGTCATGAGGCAGTATCGCATATAGCATTATTGATTTTAAAGAAGCAATTGGAGCTTTAAGGGAGTGGTTATTTTTTTACATGAACACTTATTCTTGCTGTGGTTTTCTTAGTACGTCAGATCTTGCCATTTAAATGTAGCATTACTTGAAATCATAAATAAATCTAAGAGATAACTATACGAATTCCCGAAATCAGTGCATGAGATGACACAAACATTTATATGTTTATTTTTTTCCACGAAAATCTTTACTTTTATCGTCATATAGTAACTGCAAAGTAACGAGTGTATTTTATAAATTTTTACTAAAAGAAAAAACCATATAACAAGAACAAAATATCATTGATTAATCTGCAATTTTATTATTTCAAAACAAAAAAATATAAATATTTTTACAAATGCCTAAAAATCGTGTTTTAAAGTCTTTACTGAGACACATTATTTATCATTTTTAATTACAGCTTATTTTTAGTGTTACACAGTGCCTCACCATGACTGTTATGAACGTATCAGATACGGAAACGAATGTGCGGTGTTGTGTCCACTGTGCATTGGATCAAAAGCGTAAAACATGTCAAATAAAAAAATCTTTGTTTAAAATTACTAGACTAGACCATTCTGTTACCAACCGGCATTGGAGTGTGCCATGTTGGTAGTGCACCACCGATATGGCATGTTCCGATGCCGATCGGTCGATTGGTGTACTTTAGGCTCAACCTTGGCGGTGTATCTACAATCCTTATTCAGATTATATCACATTCCCAATGTGTTATTCAATTAATAAGTACCTAATTCGGGTTTTAAGCATGGGAAATAATAATAAGGCATGAGATGACATACATCCCGTTATATGCAAAACTTTTCAATATTTTTATTCCGTTAAAACGTTCACTTTGTATCAATTGTAATTATATGAAAATCTATTATAGGGTTGTCTATACATCTTTTTATAATTTTCGAATATGAAATGAATCCTATAATTGAATTAACAGTACATCTCCATAGTAATAAAAAACGCCAGAAAAGTCTTTACTGAGACACATTAGACAGACACATTACCCTTTCAGAACTTTCAATTTGTTTTATTTATATTTATTCGCCTTTATTGGAAATTCATTCAAATTTGCCGTTGTCTCCTAAAAGTACTGCCATACATAAAGGCACAATGAGCAGGCGACAGTCTTCATACATAATCATGTATGTTAACACGGTATATTTGACCTTATCGAGTGGATACTTAGCTGAATTAACTTCTTGCCCACCCTCTTTTCT